GGGAGGGGGGTGTCGGGGTTCGCTGCATTGGGTGTCACAGCAGCAGTCTGACTCTCCAGCGTGCCTGCAGCACGGGCATATTTGTTACTGTATATGGAGCCTGACACTACAGGAAATCGGGGTAACATGGGGCGCAATGGGGTTTGAACATACGTCTGTTTTTTTTCTTAAGCCGCAGCCTGCGACAGGTGATGCCCCGATTGTGCAGAAGACGGAGGACAGACATCGCAAAGCTGTGTCAGCACCGACAAGGGGGCGCAAGCCTGAGACCATCCGAATTATCACCAGCGACCTCATCCGGGATCTGGTGTAAGTTCCGTAACCCTCAACCAGAAGATATATATAAAGCACAGCCATGATGGTTTGTTTTTGCTAGGTTTATAAACATAAGATATATATATATATATATATATGTGTGTGTGTGTGTCTGATGACAGGTCCTCTTCACTCTTCTGTATCGTACACAATATTTATATATACTGTACGTCTGATGACAGGTCCTCTTTAATCCTGTATGTCTCATCCAATATACACTATATTGCCAAAAGTATTGGCCCCTCCCCCTCCCAATCATGTGATTCAGGTGTTCCAATCCCCTCCATGGCCCCCGGTGTATAGGACGAGTCACCTCGGCATGCAGACGCTTCTACAGACAGTGGTGAGAGAACGGGTCGCTCTCAGGAGCTCAGTGACTACAAGCGTGGTGCCGTGATAGGTTGTCACCCGAGCAATAAGTATTGTCACCCCAGCAATAAGTCCAGCCGTGACATTTCCTGGCTACTAAATATTCCGCGGTCACCTGTTACTGGGATTATAACAAAGTGGAAGCAACTGGGAGCAACAGCAACTCAGCCAGGAAGTGGTCGGCCACGTCACATGACAGAGCGGGGTCAGCGCATGCTGAAGCGCACAGTGCGCAGAAGTCACCAACTGTCTGCAGAGTCAATAGCTACAGACCTCCAAACTCCATGTGGCCTTCAGATTGGCACAACAACAGTGCGTAGAGAGCTTCATGGAATGGGTTTCCATGGCCGAGCAGCTGCATCCAAGCCTCACATCACCAAGTGCAATGCAAAGCGTGGGATGCCGTGGTGTAACGCACGCCGCCACTGGACTCTAGAGAAGTGGAGGCGTGTTCTCTGGAGGGACCAATCACGCTTCTCTGTCTGGCAATCCGATGGGCGTGTCTGGGTTTGGCGGTTGCCAGGAGAACGGTACTTGCCTGACTGCATTGTGCCAAGTGTAAAGTTTGGGGGGGTTGCTTTTCAGGGGATGGGCTCCGCCCCTTAGTTCCAGTGAAGGGAACTCTTAAGGCATCAGCACACCAAGACATTTTGGACAACTTTGTGGGAGGAGTTTGGGGACGGCCCCTTCCTGTTCCAACATGACTGCGCACCAGTGCACAAAGCAAGGTCCATAAAGACATGGATG